CAAAATCTTTTGTGATGTTTACTTTTTTGGATATTCATCAATATGCACTGAGGCACTGACATAATTGATGTATATACAAAATCAGAGACCCTCCAATCACAAGTGTTCACTGAAGATCCTTTTTAGATGCATAATAGTCTCAGTTGATGGCTTGTGATTGGATAGATGTTAATACGAAAGATAAACATGGCTAAAATTATATTAACAGGTAAAATAAGATCAGTGTGAAAGACCTGTCCCCTTATACTCAGTTCTGTCTTGGGGTGCAGACTGCGGATAAGAAAAGGTTATAGTTATGAAGGATGGCGTTGAGATTAGCAGGCTGTAACCGGGCTCAGTGGTGGTGCGAGATGCCACATTTTTTGATTTATGAGGGTCATGATGATCAGTGGTTGCACCATGAATAATCCATGTCCCCAGAATTAAGTGACCTAGAGCATTCACTAAATCTCCCCGCTGTGTTTTTCAGTTCCACGCTTTCTTATCCACACTTACTTCATTCAGGACAGCTGCTGATCGAGAGACTGGCTTATCTGTTGATAATGTTTGTTTGCCCTTTGCAAAATATTGTTTGGGGTTTTTTTTGTATAAAAGCATTTGCCAGATTAGTACCTGTTGAACTAATGTGTGCAGATAGCCATTGCTTAGAGGTAAAGGAAGCATGAGCACTTAGGTCCAAACAATCGCACTGATCATTCAGATAGAAGAAGGAATTACTTGGCTGCTGCAATTTAACAGACCATGGCACTCTTAATGGCCCATGCTACTAAATGAGACAAGACAAGGCTATCTTAACGGTTAGATCCTTCAGGTCAATCACATGGTTCATGGGAGAATGTCTGTGACCTTTTGGTTGAAAACAGTCATAATCAGAGTACTTTATTATTTTTGCATGAGTCACCACCAGTTACAGCAATATGATTATTTGCTCATCTTATTGTGAATTCACACTGTTCTTCAGTAGATATGTTTACATGCAGGGCTGAGTTGGAATGAAAAGCATAAAAGCACCTCAGTTATCATGTTTTCTATTTGCTTCTTAAATAATCCTTTAATTATTAATTAGCATGCGAAACTTTGAATCTGACTGGTTTCAACAACTGGATTAAAAAAATGACCTTTTTTCAGATTATTGTGGTTTAGTTTAAGCAAGATAGAATTTCAAGAAGCTGCTTCTAAATCCCACATTTGTTAAGTAAAGTAAGAAAAATGAGGAGAAAGCTTTCTTGGCATAATTTAAGGCAAACCAGCCAATTATGCACTAGGGTGCCATGCTGAGTTGCCAAATTCTTTAATCAGCTGACGCTGTTGCTTTCTCGTGACAGGAACACTGACAGGTCTCACAAGCTTCACAATGCTATGGTAACATTGACACTAAATATTGCTCTTCATATGTGCAGAAAATCGTGCAGAATATGTATGATGCAAATGTATGTAAACATTTTCAGTGGGTCTGCAGGTAGATATAAACAGTACATTTAAAATCTGTAATCAGTCTGAATTTAGATGAATTTGGATTTACAAAATGTAAACAAATCAGTGATATAAAAACAAAGTATAAGTCGTATTGTTCAAAAGATTGAAGTTCAGTAAGATTTTGTTTATTTTTTTATAAATTAATACTTCAGTAAAGAAGAATTAAAATGATAAAATATGACAGTAAATAAATGAATGTTGCAGAAGATTTCTATTTCAAATAAATGCTGTTTTTATCAATAGCATTTCTATTTTTGAGGATCCTGAAAAAAATAAATGACGATTTCCACAAAATATTAAGCAGCACAATTGTTTTCTACACTGATAATAATAATCTTGAGCATCAAATCGGCATATTATAATTTTTTCTGATCATGTGATACTGAATATTATTTTAGGTGAGCATAAGTGACTTCTTCAAAAACTCAGATCTGTTTCTTTAAAAAAAAAATCCAGCACAAACCACATGGAATCTGATCTTTTCAATTCAATCTTTTCTACTTCCATATGTGGTCCTAATTCAGATACAGGTCTAATGCGACCTCAGTCTGAACAGTCATATCGGAATTCATGAGACTTTTATCTCACTTTGGATTGACATTCATCACAATTCTTTGCTGATGGGAGTCAATTCAAAGATTTTACATTTTGGTAGTTCTTTGGTCACTTGGTCAATATGGAAGACAGCTGTGAAGGTACTCTGTGGAGGGACAGTGAGGTGTTACAACTCAAGTATTACGGTGACCACAAACAAAACCTGAGAAAAAAACCTCTTTGTCCTACTTATCGTCTGCGCACAGATTGACTGGCTTCCACTGCACAAGACCTTATAAATGAACGCGTAAGCACTGACTTCAGTGGCTTCTATGCCATCTTTGTTATTGTTCTTTTGCAAATGCGGGCCAATTGAGTACTGTGACCAGTTCACACACAAATCTGATACTGGCCACGTTTAAAAAACTTGAGAATTGAGAATCAGGCTTGCAGTGTAAACATAGCTGTAACTGGTGCATTTAGTGTTAACAAAACGAATCTAGTTTTGTATATGAAAAAATAAATCATGTGATGTGTGGAAATGTGTATAGTAGAACATTGTGCTGTAAATGAAATCAGTCATTACTGAAATTCTCACGGAAAGTATCATGTCAGCGGTTCTAATCTGCGTCTTCACTCCAGTGTCAGCAACCCCTTCAGTCTCTAAATGATTATATTTAAATGGTCAGTAGCTTCTCTTAAATGAGGACAGAAATATATAACCATAGCATGGTGACATGCTGACATAAACTTAAGATGTGGTCATGACTCCTGTCTGAGTGGATGGGTTGATTTTACTGTATCGTTGAGAGAGCTGCCAGAGACCCATAACATCACTCACAGAGGGGCTCAGATGCAGGGGGATCAGGGAATTGGTCGGTTAATTGCATTGAGCTCTAATACGTGCATGTCCTGAATCATGTCAATGTCTTCTTTGGTTGACAAGGTGGGAATACAGAGTTGGTTTGAGTATTTTAAAGGATCCTTTTTCTCTCAAGAGTCTGGACACAGAGCAGTATCACCTGGCACTTTTCATTATTTCCACACCACAATGTCTATGAAGACTACTGCATTGTTGTATCCCAAAGCCAAAAATAAGTGCAGCAGGATAAATGAAGCCAAAAGGGAGTTTTAGTTTTATGAAGAGGATCTTTAGTGTGTGAAATGGAGACAATGAAACATGTTGTTCTTATTGTGAATGCCAGGCAGACAACAAATACACATTGTGGCCCACCATATTGATATGAGTTTTAGGTTATTGTTCTATGTGCACAGACTCATTAATCAGAAGTAAAATGGTATGGCTTCATATTTCAGTATCACGGTCTTGGGTGAAATACTTTTAGTTACCCATTAGTCTCATGGTTGTCATGTAATACTACGACCATTGAAATACATGGCAGCAGAACAGAGCCTAATGCATTTTGTCATTTCAATAACACTAAGCTGTTTGTCTGAGAGGTTTTATTCAAAGATTAATCTTGAAGTGTGATGTAATGTTTTAAACAAATACTACCTCACTAATAGTAGAGATGCTTGATATTAACATTTCAGTACCGTTCAGCCGATTAATTGTTTTCATGTTATGGCTGATTATGATAAATGGCTGGTATTAAAATTTGATACAGTTTTGTCTAAATAAAAATAAAATACTAAAAACTACAAGGCACCAGAACATCAAAATCGAATGTTGGCTGATACGATAAATTAAAAACTGTATATAATATTGGCTGATAACCTACACTACCATTTTGGGTCATTTAAAAATCGAATCCAGCCATTACACATGCTGAAAATATAAATCTATGTGAGTGGCTTTGTGATAGCAAGATACAGTCATACTACAGTGTTCAGTTCTACAGTGTTCAGTTTTATTATTTACAGAGTTAGCTTCTTTCAAATGGAAATTCCACTTTCAGTTCAATCTAACTCACCTTTCATTCAGTTAGCTTTCAATTACACACTTCATTATGTTCTGTAATGAGTCCAGTGATGTGCCTATACATTCCACCCTGAGGGCCTCATTGGGGTAATATATGCAATCCCATTTTGCACCCTTAGGCTTGTTGCCACTAATAAACAGAAGAATTCAGAGCATAATTTGTTCATAGAATTTCCCCTTGGGATTCTAAGGAACACATCTTATGTAAATCCAACAGAACACGAGCAGCGATACAGAGTCGTGGATTACTGCACCTCCATCACATCTTAGTATCTTGTGTCTCAGTGATGCTCCACGGACTACTTAGACAGACAATCAAGACCCAGTAGCTTTAGAGGCTGACCGCGGAACTTTTCAGCATGTAGACAGAACATCTGTGGAAGAAGTCACTTCCAGACAGCCTGTCCCCTCCAGTGTGCTTCCAGCTCATCTTCCTGCTCTTGTTCCACTCCGTGTCCTCGCCTGCGGCTTTCTGCCCCGGCCTCTTCTGAGTCTGAAGGAGAAGGAGAATAAATAATGAATCTCGATCACAGCGAGGAAACGGAATCTTTTGTTTGCACCCGCAGTGTTGTTTTTCAAATTTTTTCCTGAACCCGACATAGATGACCCACGGCCCGACGCAGGCATAATGAAGATGCGCGTAATGAGGCAGAGGAATACGAGGCCCCTAGTTAGACCCGAGCTGTTGGCACGGCGGTACTTGTCATTGTGTCGTTAATGGCCATGAATAGCTTGCTCTCCTTTGCTATTGTTGAGAATGCTCTTGTGGCGCTTGTGGGGCGATGAGAGGCTTTGACACTCCATGCTCTTAAGGTAATGTAAGCTCTCACCCTTGTGTGTTAGCAGGAGGTGAATAAGCCCAATATTTCATCCCCTCCAAACTGAAGGTGCGGTTTAGATTTAAAATCGGGGATTTAGCAGCTGTTGCATTGGGGAGCTCCTAATGCTTGAGTCCCTTTCCTGAGTGTCCCTTTTCCCCAATCTTTTATTCTCTTTTCTTGTTCTAAAGCTGAACAACTGTTTCTTCTCTCTTTCTCTCAATACCCAGGTGCCCTCTCTTTGCTTTGAGTCTGATTATCGGTCTGTCTGGTCTCCTGATCTTCTGTGTCTGGTTGTCTGGTTCAGGCAAGCAGTGATCTTCCACAGCAGACATCTCCAGGGATTGCAGGCCTTGGTCTGAGGTGAGTCCTACCAGGATCCATCGCCTTTGCTCCTGTCTCTCCTCGTTCGCAATCACCATTATACCAGTCGGAGCCATGCAGCTTTAATTCTTAGAAATCAGTGTTCATTAGAGTCACCTGCACTTCAAGAGGAAGCACAGAATAATTTGATGTCAGATGCCTCATTATGGTACTCCTACTTAAAGCCATGGCAAAAGTACAATCTTTTTCATGCTTGAGAACCACCGCAAGTCTATGGGGATAACAGAGAGCCGCAGATGCATTTTGATTAAAGGCTAAGTGATCTTGCGGTGCAAATCAGTGATTCATAATACATGGAATTAATTACAAAAGAAGTGGTCTGATCATGCCTTAAAACTTTATTGCTTTTGCCATCTATGTATGTTTATAGCAGACATTCTACATGTACTTCTATAATTTGGATGTCACTTAGTGTCGTCAATAAATGCCATGCTTTAAAATTGGCCTGTGTTAAAAAGTTAGCAGGACAAATCACAGCTACTCACTGTAAAAATGGTAACCTGCAATTGGTTTTTGCTCCTACTTTGAAGAGCTGTTTCTACCTCATCTAACTTTTAAATTTAGTTTCAACATATACTACTGCTCAAAAGTTTGAGGTCGGTAAGATATTTTATGCAAGTCTCTTATGCTCGCAGATGCTGCATTTATCAAAACTACAGTAAAAACAACTGTAATATTGTGACATATTATTACAATTTAAAGAAAGTGCTTTCTGTTTTAATATATTTTAAAATGTAATTAATTCTTGTAATGGCAATGTAGAATGCAAAATTTAAGCAGCCATTACTCCAGCCTTCAGTGTCACACAGTCCATCAAAAATCATTCTAATATGCTAATTTGGTGTTCAAAAACATTTCTTGTTATTATCACAGTTGAAAACTGCTTAGTATTTTTATGGAAGCCATAATACAGTTTTTTTTTTTTTTCAAGATTCATAGATGAACAGAAATTTCAAAAGATCAGAATTCTAATATTACTAACATTATAATTGTCTTTACTGTGACTTTTGATTAATTTAATTCATGTATATACAGGCGTTTTTTAGACTTTCCAGAACCATTGTAACAGAGGTGAGTAAATGACTGTAACACTAACAGTGTTTTTGGATTTTATTTATGAATAAATTGCTAATAGAGGTCTTAGACAAAGTTCCTAAAGTTTCCTGCTATAGGTTGTGTCTCAGTGTTGAAATCAGTTCTGCAGTACCCTTGTAAAGGTTCTATCAATTACGATTCTGACCAGTCATCAGAAGATTCGTAAAGATTTTACATCTTTTACGTTATTGTACATTTCAAAGTCTATACAAGCATGCAAAAAATATCCACCTACCTAGGAATGCAAATGAAACCAGTGTGCATCATTTTAACTTCCAAGCTGTCATTGGGAACAGCTGTTTGTACATCTGAGCAGAACATCATAACAGCTTTACTCTAATAGAGATATCTTACAGCTGTAAGGAATGATACGAAGCCTTCAAAGGGTGACTGTAAATTAACCTTTTTACAGAAATGAGCATGACTTCAGTCTCTGCCTTTGAATGAACTATTATATAGTGTGGAAGTTAAATCAATATTGATTTTCTCTCACGTGAGAATGACCCGTGAAGACCTTTCATTGGTCTCAGATTGGCAAGTGAGTGAAGCCAATTTTATTAGACACGTCATGCAAATCATTAACAAGGTTAACAGATCAGGTATAGAGTCCAAACAAAGCTCAAAATCATAAAAATGTCACAAACACACTCACTTACGCCTTACCAGGATGTTAGTGGTTGTAATAGTGCTTCTTTTCTGATCAGATACATAAGAGTTGCCTAGAATCAAGCAAACTGTTGTTCTGGTGTCTTTCTGCGATACCCCCTGCCGTTTAACATAATCAGTGCTTTCACGCTTCGCTGGCCCATGCTTGAGCAGTGTGTCATTCACGTACCCTTCTACATCTGTCTCTGTCATGTCAATTCATCACACACATCCTCATCTCCCATCATGTGTCTAATGAAATATCTTGACAGTTTAAACAAACAGTTCACCCTGTGTGGTCTTAAAGAGTCCTTCATCACTGTCATGGGACTAATATCCTGTGCTAAGTGTTACAGAACATACACAGTAACACAAGTATGCGTGAGTATAATGTGCATAAAGACTGGTGTATTGACCAGATGAATGAATCACACAATATTTTAGTTCACCCAAAAATGTCATTAATTACTCACCCTCATGTCGTTCTAAATCTGTAAGACCTCCGTTCATCTTTGGAACACAAATTAAGATATTTTTTATGAATTTTGAGAACTCTCTGACCCTCCCATAGACAGCAATGTAATTATTACGATCAAGGTCCAGAAATGTAGCAAGGAGATTGGTAAAATAATCCATGTGACATCAGGGGTTCAACCGTAATTTTACGAAGCTACGAGAATACTTTTTGTATGCAAAAAAAACAAAAATAACGACTTTATTCAACAATTCATCTCCTCCGCGTCACCCTGGTGCCATTTTGGAGAGTATCCACTGAATGTATCAGCTGTGCCACGCGCCATGTTTATGCTTTGATTTGAATGAAAACAACGTATCCGCGTGGCGTAGCTGACACAGAATAGCATACGATGTTTATGTTCAGTGGATACTCTCCAAAATGTCACCAGGGTGACGCGGAGGAAACGAATTGTTGAATAAAGTCATTATTTTTCAATTGGAAAAAATGAGGGGAAAAGAAACATGTAGCGCGTTGTTGTTTTTCTGCCGGTGTTCTGACAATGTGCTCCCCTTTCAGATTTTGCTACCTCCCATTAAAACAGATGGTAGCATAATTCGATAGCGAAAAGAGCTACCTATCAGATTTTGCTTCCAGCATGATATTAATAAGGTGTGAGGCTTTATTAACATGTACACCTACCACAACCCTAAACCTACCCTTACAGTAGGATAAATACAGTGTTGGTAGCATAATCTGATAGGTAGCATTATTTGTCAGAACACCGGCTACAAACACAGTTAAAGTAAAGGTGATGAGTAGACTGAAGTTGGGCTCAGGTGGTTGTGCGGGTGTGTCTCCCATACATTTATTTAGTTGTGGCGCTCGCCAGAATATCAAAACGGACTGATTTTCCAAAAACCTTCGTTGAATAAACATGAGCAAGTGCTGCACGTTTAAAAATCAAAACAAATCTTTAGAAAATTTTCGATGTCATTTTCATTTCATCTTGCATGTTATATGCCTGATAAAGCAGCGTTTGTGAGCCCAGTGCTGCTTTGTGTACAGCCGTTTACTGGGGAACCCTCTGTTTCTCCCGCTTTAAAGCACCTCCTGCTGGCAGAGAATTTGCTTTTTCAGTAAGTCCGTCTGATTTACGCAGCAAACATATTTTCATATTTCGCTTTTCCTATATCCACGGGTGCTGCGGATAATCCGCGGGTCGGGTAATAAAAATGCATTCTGATTATTTGCGGGTGGGTCGCGGGTGGATAAAATAAATCATAAATGATGCAAATATTAACTACGCTTTTTTTTTAAATACATTTTTTTCTTGAGGCAGATGATTTCGTGTGTGTGTGTGCGTGTGTTCGTTCACCTGATCGGGAAGTTGCAGTGACAGAAACGGTGACATTCCAGATAAAGTTTGAAAGGAGTAAAGCCTGTGTTAATGCTATTGAGTATAGGCTAATATGGCCAAAGAAGATATTTTGTTTTGTAAATAAATTTTAATTTAAAAGCAGCCCACGATGAGCGTGTTATGTTACCGTTATTCCTTACGGCTCCGACGAGGTTTTGTTCAGTCCGCTGTGACAACTCACAAAAGACTATTTTTAGCCAAACAGCGTGGAGAGCCGCTTCTGAAACATGCCGCGGCTGGCTGATATAAACACAAGCATAGAGCGGCTGCGATCCCGTGGAGTCGTAACGCGCCGCAGACGCGTTCAGTGAGGCGCAGATCAGCTCTAACGTCACTGATTCTGCTGTTAAAAATGAACCATCCATTCGTCATATCATCATGCAAAACATACACGACAAATAGCGAATTTTTCATTGTTTCTCGAAAAAGTCAAAGCATTTGCACACCGGCGATTTATGCGTTGACGTCATCAAATTGCGATCGGTTCGTGAGATCGGCCAAGTGTAGTGAGTACCGATCGAGTCATAAAATTTGATTTTCGGCCGATACCGATCTCCGGCCGATCGATCAGAGCATCCCTAGTCATCTATATAGATTTTTTTCAGCACATCAAAGAAATTTACATTAAATGGTGCTGTAACATCTCCTAAGATCCACAACATCCCAGTTATTTAGGCTAAGCATCAACATTCACAAACCACTGTTATTTAACAGAAAAGCAAGCATGGGCTGCTGCATGCATGGTTTGGCATGGCAGAATGCGAGCAGCGTTTCCTTTATTATCACTAAAAGCTGACATCTCAGTTCATCGCGATCTCATAAAGCTCTGTTATAACACAATGAACATGCACAATGAATCTTTCACAATTTCTAAACTTCGTGTGTTAAAATGAGACGATTCGTGAGCACGCAATTTCAGCACTGCGGTGAGTAGATTCTAACTCACCTCTGATTGGCCATTGCATTCCAGATATCAACAGCTGAGTCTGTGATTGGCTACATTGCGCAACCCTTTAAACATGTGTTATAAATAGCAACTCTGCCTAGCTTGCGCGTGTTAATCATTTTAATGTTATTAGTTGTTCTTTTTGCTTTTGTGCAACACATAATTAACAATTTATATGTTTTAGACATTTTATGTTTAGATAATTTCTATTTGTAGAAACTTAATTTGCTGTAAAGTTGCTTTGCAACGATTTGTATCTTGAAAAGCGCTATACAAATAAACTTGAATTGAATTGAATAACATCTCCTAAGATCCACAACATCCCAGTTATTTAGGCTAAGCATCAACATTCACAAACCACTGTTATTTAACAGAAAAGCAAGCATGGGCTGCTGCATGCATGGTTTGGCATGGCAGAATGCGAGCAGCGTTTCCTTTATTATCACTAAAAGCTGACATCTCAGTTCATCGCGATCTCATAAAGCTCTGTTATAACACAATGAACATGCACAATGAATCTTTCACAATTTCTAAACTTCGTGTGTTAAAATGAGACGATTCGTGAGCACGCAATTTCAGCACTGCGGTGAGTAGATTCTAACTTTATCACCTCTGGTTGGCCATTTGCGTTCCAGTAATCAACAGCTGAGTCTGTGATTGGTTACATTGCAACCCTTTAAACACGTGTTATAAATAGAAACTCTGCCTAG